AATTTGTCCAGAGTCTAATCGACTTCAGTAGTAGGGAACCCCTTCGTTCCATTCATCCCCACTATGTTATCTTTGAAAACTATGTTTATCTTCATTATTACTTTTTTCTTTAATGGTTTTGGTTTTTGACGTTTTGTTTTATTTGTCACTTTCAATAAAATATTTTGGACGATTTTGTTACATCCGAAAGATTGAATTTGTTAAAACCGAATTGTAAGAGCAGACGATTTTGTTACATCCGCAAGTCAATGTGCGGTTTGACTTTTTAAACCAATCAAAAGTAAATTGAACATTTTGATTTAGAGGATGAAAGCCATTTTCCATGTCATATTTTATTCTTTTTCTAAGAAAATGTAATATTTTATAATAACTTGAATGTACAAATGTCTAAAAACCGTGTTTAGTTACGGAAAAACAGATCGTTTTTCGGAAAAAATATTCAAGAAAAAATGAGAATTTTGAATATACCCAACCTCACTCACACACTACCAAGCCCCATCCCCACAATAAAACTATTGTTTTGATTCATAATTCTCATGTTTCTCTTGTTGCTGTTTATAATGTTATTAATGGTTTTTAGCATTTGAATTTATAGCAAATATGTGAGTTGTTTTAAAAAAAAAAAAAAACCATTGTATCCAATTTTTGTTGGCAAAATACATATCAAAATATATTTGGAGGATGCTTGGAGATTATAACATGTGAAGAACAACTGCTAAGTTGGTTTGCTACTAAAAAATTAGACAAAAGGACAACTTTTGAACGTCGATATATATATATATATATATATATATATATATATATATATATATATATATATATATATATATATTTGGAATGTAATCTAAGCTTTTATGTTCTCCATGTTAGAAACATTTTTAAGCCAAACTAGATAACTGTTCTTCAAAATATAATTGGAGGATGTTTGAAAATTATAACATGTGAAGAACAATTGTTAAGTTGGTTTGCTACTAAAGAATTAGACAAAAAGAAACTTTCGAACGCCGTTTGGAATATAATCTAACATTTCATGTTCTCCGCGCCATAAACATTTTTAAGCCAAACTAGATAATTGTTCTTCAAATGCGGCTTTTGGGAGTTGGGGGGGGGGGGTGGAGCTGAGGTTTTTTTTCGAAAAAAAATTACTTCAACCGGAAGATTATCGCTAAACCTACGAAAATAGTCAAATCGAAAAAAATTGAAAAATGCAACGTATTTTTTTAGAAAAAAAGTTGAAGTTTAATCCAGAAAAAACATAATATATGATTTGTTTTTTATGATATTAAACCGTATTTAAATTGGTAAGCTCGTATTAGACAATATAGTTTAACTTTATTTTACTTTGCAAAAATTAACCCCACCATCATTGGGATTGATTCTACCTATTGATTTTCCTCGACCTTAAGACATTCACCCATCGAATAGACGGATATTCCCGAGATTCGTAGACACTTGAAACCCTCGTTCACAACTACTAGGTTCTCATCTCCTTCAAGATCACCGATCGAATAGAAGAGTCTTTCCCTTTTCAAGTTCGACTCATCCCCTTTAAACCGTTTAGCTACTAGTCTACATGTCTACACATATTATTTAGTGATTTTCTTTTAGTCTTTTAATAGTCTATTACATGTATGCACATGTTTTTTAGTGCACACCGGTGATTCTTTCTTCTTGATATTTTTTGTGACTATATGTGTAAGTAAATATGGTAGGCTCTTAAATGTGTTATGTGGTACGATCTTAAATGACAGATGCAGGGAGGGAGTGAATGTGGTAGACTTTAAAATGTCAAATGATTACACCAAAAAAAAGCACACTCTAGAGTTTGAGCTACTACAGATTTATTAAGTGAAAATTACAAATTCAATCAATTGGTGCATAATAATACAAAAAGTTAACTATAAACATAATTAAGGTGAAGAAAAACCGTGAACTCCATGACATTTGTTACAAGATCGTTTATTGGACAAATTAATCTTACACGTGTGTATGTTTTTCAATATACTTCATTTTTCTCAAGATAATGTAATTTTTTCTTTGAGTAAATTACTGAAATCGTCCCTGTGGTTTGGTCAAAATTGCACGTTTGGTCCCTAACTTTTTTTTTGCACTCGGATCGTCCCCGTGGTTTGATTTTGTTGCGTTTTTCGTCCCTGTGGTTTGATTTTGTTGCATTTTTCGTCCCTTATATACATAAAGTTAGGGACCAAACATGCAATTTTTACCAAACCATAGGGACGAAAAACGCAACAAAATCAAACCACAGGGACGATCCGAGTGCAAAAAAAAGTTAGGGATCAAACGTGCAATTTTGACCAAACCACAGGGACGATTTCAGTAATTTACTCTTTTTCTTTTTATTATTTTAGGTGATGTATTTTATTTTTTTGCACTAATGCGATGTACATTATGCTTTTCATATTTTCACAAAGGACAAAGACAACATTGATACAATTACCTCAGAATGTGAGTTTGTGTCCGAAAAGGAGGTGGCGACAAACACAAAAAGAAAAAAGAAAAAAAAAATCAAAAGGCTTCAAACAAAAATCATTGTGCAAAAAAGATCAAAAGTCCTCAAACAAAAACCATGATGCAAAACTCCTGTTCATATGAAGGAAGAAAAGATCCATTCATTGGGAACATTTTCAAGATACGGGTGTTGTCAATGTTATTGTTATAGAAGGATCGGTTGTGCAAGCAAGAGTGAGATTACACCTTTGAAAAATCACATTGTTGCAAACAGTATCCACAAAACATATACAAAAAACAAAAACTCATTGACCTTGAGTCCAAAACACATATTAGTGACGATGAGTCTCTTGAAGCTACAATATTTCCTAGGTTGTGGGAGTTCAACTAGAAGTCATCATGAAGAAACTAACTTTTCCGAATGTTGAT